GCTTCCTGATGGAAACGCTGTACTCCTCCTCAGCTTGAGATACCGCACCAGGAAAACGAATCTCCTCGCTGTACATCGCAGGGTGACATCCGGGAACACTCACCAACCACGATAAGGCGGTAAGCGGTCGGGAAGCATTCTCATACCGGAATCTAAGACTTCAGCACGCAAAACTCTCGAAATATTCCGAATAAATTCCAGGGATCGAGAAGTGAACAGCAAAAAGGAATGCTTCGTTATCACGCGTGATTTTACACGATATCTTAGCCTGATATTTCTATAGGGTGGAGGCGCATTACCAATCGATTTGAACTCTGCGCAGTTGTCTGTACGTGGATCAGTTATAGAAAAATGGTGAGTGTGTGAGGAAGCAGTTCTATTTCGAATGCGATTGGAAATTAGATAGCTTGGTTTTTTTTGGGATTATGGGGGTGTTTAGCTAACGGGGTGCTGGTTAACCTCACTATTCCAGGCTCTGAAGAATAGGTTTGAAGGTTTTTTTTGAAGAAGGTTGTATATGCCGAAAAGTTAGCTATTGTAAATAAGTAATATTTAAGAGCAACCTCGTGTGCGCTTATCAGGAAAACAGCAAGCCGTGAACCTAGAAGAACAGCAACTGTCATTTAAGTGGATCCACTTAGAGAGGATCCTTATACTAAATATCTATGACATAAATCCCAGAACCAGCATCCTATTAACCTCCACATTCATCAATAATTCACTGCTCTCTTGATGAGCAGACACGCATTTGTTACTGGACTAATATTTCACGATAGCTCACTTTTCGGCGGTTTCGCTTTCATCGGAGCATAGAAAGGCCAAATTGTCAAGGAGTTCACTCAGTCAAACGATTTCATAACCCCAGCAGATAAAACCTAATGCATTAATTTCGTTCGCATAGCAAACAGCGTGTTTTAAACAATCACCGTTTTGTATGTTTAAGATTTCCAGTTACTGCTGGAGAGCAATTACGCAGACTCTTTCATAGCTGAAGAATGTACCGACTCAGGTGAGAAAATTATCCTTACGGCGCGAGGTCACACGTGACTACAAAGCGACAAGTGTAACAACAAATCATCAACTGAATTATGCTTACTCATTAAGAAAACAGTGAATTATGCTTGTGATGAATTGCTTATCGTAAGCCTCTTTCGTTTCTAGTCATGTCGAACAGTAAAATATCCAAAAACATCGGTTGTGTAGTCAAATTTTTTATAAGAAGTAGATTAGGATTAACAACACCAACGATTATTTGGTAAACCTCCGAAACTAAAGAGGATGGCCTGGAGTGACAGTACAGTCAGTTGAGCGAAGTGAACTCGAACAAAAGATTTTTTTTAAAGTGTGTAGCTAGGACATTAAATTTCGTAGAAATGAATAGAAATTAGAAGAGTTAAAAAACTCTTTGAAATAAAATCCTAAAAGCATGATATCACCTACTAGTTTAGCCACCTGCCATATCAATGGATTTGCATGGGGCTCACACCAATCGCCTCTCTCAGAGACATTACCATGCGCATAGCATTCCACCAACATAATGTTAACACCGCATATCAAGTGATCAACATGACGGATTTCCACATTCCACAACCTATACCACCGTTCAGGTGCACAGTGCACAGTGCACAGGTTTTTCTTGGAGAAACTAGTTGGTCCGAAGAAGAGTATGCTACATATATTGAATTTCTTTTTTACAACGCCAGAGTTTGGCAGAATTGCACGAGCATCCTTCAACGAATTTGTGATTTTTGTTACTATTTCGTTCTTTCTGTTTAAACACCTGTGTTCTTTTTTATGTAGCAGAGATGAGGGCTAATACTTCAACGACGTCAGGAATACTGCGTACTACTCAAAAAGCCCTTGAACGATGTCTTCTAAAATATAAGCAGCACTCAGAGTGTCTAGCCGAAATGCGATACTCCTATCTTCGAAATCTATCTCTTTCGGCGTTAAGCGGTCTTTCAGAAAGGTTCGCAGAGGTGTTCAAATGCGTATCAGATTTAGAAAACGAATTTGGTGTCTTGCCGATGTATTAAGTCGGTACTTTTTTCTTTATGGCGCAGGATCGAGCCCACGACAGTGGGTGTATTGCACGGTTCCTCCAACCACTGCTGAACGCGCCCAGTAGTGGTGCTTGGTAGTGTTCACTTTGTTCCATTCGCTCATTTTTATGCCTTTTGAATTACCATCCAATGTTTCTATAAATATTCAACGGCAAATGGGTGATTGCAGTACCTTAAAGCAACTGAGAATAAAACATTGTTTCAACAATTTTAACTTATTATTTACTCCCTACTGTTTCTAATGGCGAAGGTATGTTGCGAAATGTAACTTTAATGATGCTGAGATATTTGCAGAAATCCGATTCGCAGGTGTCAGCGGTGGGGAACGAACGCGCTATTGGCCTTCCCGGGGAGTAGCGCACTTGACCACCACACCATGCGGGTCCTTCTATTCGCGTGTTTCTTAACTATTTCTATCGATCAGTGCCATCAGTCGGGATTACCGCAAATGGGATTGATCTGGAAACCTCAAATCGGCAATGAACCCTACCATTAGAAACAGTAGGCAGTAAATAATAAGCTGAAATTGTGATTATAACTATAGCCTCAGATTAACTGGGTTCAATGCCGATTTGGGCTTCCCAGATCAATCCCGTTGACGGGTGATTGCTGATGGCAAAAGATCGATAGAACTAGCTGTGAGACAGTAGCCGCATGGTGTGGTGGTGAGCGCGTTAGCCCAAGGAAAGGGTGATATCACGATCGTTCCCCACAGCAGACAGTCGGAGCTTTGCAAATATCTCGGCGTTATTGGTTCAACAATTAAAATAAGTGATCCAACTTGAAGAACGCAGTATTCGCTCATGCGACGATTTTACTTTTTCACTGAATGCTCGAAGAGTTCAATAGATTTTCTGCTATGGTCTATTACTGCAACCGTTTCCTTTACTTTGCTTATTCTTGGGTCAAAACTGAGCAATTATGAGTAATTCTCTTAGCCGTTGTTTACTTATGCCCATTCTCATCTACATCTACTTAACACCTTAGGTTTGCGAGAACTGTATTCTCTGTAACCCTTCGGTTTATCTTTAATTTGATTTCAATGATGAAAATTGACATTAAACCTTTAAACACTATCAACTTTGCTATCAACACCTCTTTTAGACATAGAGCTTTCCTAAACATGAAAGTGATCGTTTAGTATCCAGGTGGCATACGAGGCAAAGGGCAGTGGTCGCACGTTCCCGGTTCACCAGGTGGTCCACGTGGGCCCTGAAAAAAGAGGCTTTTCAAATTTATTGAAAACATTTTGGCTGGTTACCTTTGTCAAATTTATTTGTTTGCCTTTTATAATTTTTGGTCATTGCAAAAGGTAAACCTTTGTGATTTATTAGCAAGCTTTTGGTTAGTTCTGGCAAAATTCATTTATGACTTTACCAACAATGACTGGCCGACTATGACTAGGTTTCTACTTTGATGTTAATCGATCTACTTAATTCTTTAAAAATTCAGTTGGTCTGTGTCCACGAATTGAAAGATCATCAATTTATCTCTCCATTTTCGATATCTCGGAAGAGCAGTACTTTGTTGATGTGATATGTTCCGTGCACGGTAGCGTCAGCGAGTATAATTCTGTAATCCACAGAGAGTCACGCAAGCACATTGCATCGACGGCTCTACTCTAGAGTCCCTGCATCTGTTTAGGTCACATTCTCCTATAGTCAGCACTTTTTCTCACATGACAGATTCCTGTTCCTTCACTCGGAATGCATACGAAGTCCGATAAGGTGTTGCGTCTTGCGTCCATGAGTGGCTCGAAAAACTTTCTGCTTGGATTCGGTGCTGACGCACTTACACATCAAGAGCTGTTGCACTGGTAAAGATGCCAAGTTTTTTTATGAAAGTGAGAGCAAAGTTTTGTTTCTGTTGCTCAGTCTATAGAATCTGCTACGCTCCAATGTTGCTCGTTTTGCTGAAATTTGATAGAATTTGGCATTCATTTTTGTTTTCTATGTCCACAACAGAGTTTAGAGCGGTGCAAGATGTCAATGAAATCGAAGTAGCATCCACTCAGATTTATATCACATCGCATTGTGTGCTAATCGTAAATTAAGTTTTCTTTTAATTTATATCCATCCTTCTTCCGGGTTTTTGACCAACGTTTCTGCTTCGCTGGTATTTCTCAAAAACTGAGCGATGTAGTCAGCAAGATCAGAGTTTGAATGAGATTTTTCATCCATGCGTGTACCCTTTTTCTATCCAACCGAACGACTTCATTGTTCGCTGAGATGTGGCGATGAATAGCTTTGATGATATCGCGACAACCTGTCGGACAACTTTCGCTGTACGGATCGCAATGAGTCGAAGGAATTTCAGTCGAAGGGGTTTCATTTTCGTTAGACGACTGCGATAAGAATTACCTAAACTTATTATGTAAAAACATCGAAGTTAAGATATGATAAATATGTATTTATTTTAAAATTTGTCGAACGCCTTCTTGTTGTCATTTTGGAGCAGTTTTCATTTCTGGTAGATTAAAGCCGTTCTCGTTTGTTCAATATTCCTAGTGTGATTCAGACCGATGTTACTTCTCCTCAGCTAAGTTATTTTCGCAGTGCAATCACTTTTTATTTACTGCCTATTCTTTCTTCATGGAGGGGTAAGGTGTAAAATATAATCACAATGATGCTGAGATATTTACAAAACTGACCGCTGGTGTCTTTGCCGGGGTTGAACCCACTATTACCCTTTCAAATTATTTTCGCTCAAGTCTCTGTGTTATACAATCTAAAATAAACGTTAACGTTTTCCGTGCTTTAACTTTTCTTGCTGGCTATTTTTTTTCTGTGGCAGGGTACAGTATAAATTACGACTACAAGGATGCTGAGACATAAGCAAAACTCGGAGCCTCGCTGCGAACCCGAGTTGACACTTTCGATTCAAATTAACCCAGGCTACTTTACGTTTCACGAGTTTTTACTATTGCGAACATTGTTCCTAATATTCATATAATAGATGCTCAAAAATAAACGCATAAGGAACCTGCTCTCCCTGTGGACCAGGTTGTCCAGGAGGTCCAGGACGTCCAGGTAGGCCAATAGGTCCAGGGGGGCCCTCTATGCTTCCACCATCGAACCCAGCTTCTCCTCGTGGTCCCGGTGGGCCACGTGATCCTTTATTTCCTGTAGGTCCAGCTGGTCCATTCACCTTAAGGCAAGTTACATTTTAACTTCACTATTTCACATTATTCATCAAACATTAAATGAAACTTGTCGATTAACAGCAAATATGAAATTTTTTTATTTTAAACAAATGTGGGTGAGTTATTTAGAAAAAGAAGTTGTTATGGTAAATGATATCAGTAATTCTATGGTTAAACAGTGATCAAATGAATACCACTCACTTGTACGACTCTTCCCGGCGCACCTTTTGGCCCGATAACGCCCTGTCTTCCCGTCGTGCCCATCATTCCCATCGGTCCTTGCATTCCCGGCAAACCAGGCTTTCCATCTGCACCATTCTCTCCTGATGGACCTTTCGGCCCTTGTGGTCCTTTGGCACCGCTCATACCTTGTGGACCAGGTAGTCCAACCGGACAGATAATACAAGGTTCGGTGTTGATAGCTGACTCCAGTATACTGCCATCCTAGAAACAACGATTACTTCAAGTTTTTCGGCTTTTCATTGGCGTTTTACTTTCCCGTGCATGATTGCATCTGCTTAAGAAGAGGGCATCTCATGAAAACTCAATTTCTTCTCTCAGAGTTCCCATAGAGAAAAGGTCTCAGATGTTCTTTCAACTAAAAAAAAAACACGTTTTAGTAAAAATACCTAAATTAACGCATTTGCTTTGCCATAACCATTTAAAATTACGATAACTTTGTTTTGAAATTTCGAAAACTCATATATATATAAATATACACTCACTTTTCCATTAACGCCATCATTTCCACGCAATCCATCAGCTCCATTCTCTCCATCGTCTCCAGGCGGTCCGGGTGGGCCTGTTGGACCTTGCTGACATGGGCAACATGTGAGGCTTGGTTCGCTGTTTATCAGTGGTGGTTGCCCGTAACCGCCAATCAAAGGGTTAGAGAGAGGTGCGGTAGAGGGAGGGTTGTTTTGGCGCTTGGCACGACTGAATTCCGGTGAGTCGATGTGATTAATCTCAGCCCACATGTCTCTTGCACGGGTCTGAAAAGAAGAAAACGATAATGATATTTTTTTAAAATGTCTACCAAAAACGTTGACTTTCTTAAAGTGATAAAAACGTTCGAATCGAAAATTTAAGAGCATAACAACTGTAAACATACTGTAAACATAGTTAATTAGGCGACAAAACTCGGCTAATCAAGATTTTCTCATGCTCACCTTACAGAAATCGGCTTCGATGATAAGATGAGATTGGAAATTAGCAACATAGCTGTAGAGCATCGGAAGTGTGACAACAGCTGCAATAACGGCTACAGTACTAACAACGATGGCAAAGAACGCCACACGACGGAGTTCCTTCTGCTCCGACGTCTCCATATGCAGCTTCTGAAAGCACCCAAGCATTTTTACTACTGCTTGTATTTTTAAAACTCTGCATTTATCAATATTTTTGAAGTAAATATGTTGCTGCCAATGTTAACAGTTGACCTTAGGCTTTTGGAGACGACACAATATCGAGAAATCGGAGAATTTGATGAACATTATGGTTCAGTAGTAATCGCTGTTTTATGAGTTTTAAACTCTCCAAATCCTTTCGTAAAGTTTTATTTTTTAAGGAAAATATGAAACAAATAAAGATGAAGAGCAGAAGAAGACACGAGATCCACCGGGATCCGGGGCGAAAAGCGAACTGAAAGTCTTCGACAGTGTTTTATACGATACTGGCGCTCCGATTTCACTGACTTCTTTCGAAACCCGCCAAAAACCGCGTAGTGAGTTTTTTTCGCATTCCAACATTCCGTACCATTGTTGTCGAATCCCAGATGTGTTGTCTCATAAAAATGTTAGGCAATAGTACCCAGGATCGACTTACTATTAACCTTGGCATTGGATTATAAATTCTTTGCAATTATCGTGCAGATTTTCATCTTTCTGTTTATGCCATCGAAGCGTTTGACCTAGCTAGATTACATATTAGTGTACCCTTCTAGGCTCTGAAGAAGGCGATTCTGCCGGAACGTCAGCTACGATTGTGTTGTATGTGTGTTATTGTATGGAAGTAAACGTATGCTATTTAACAGCCTCGCGATATTGCAAAATGTTAGGTAACATTTTTTGATAATACTTTAGCGATAACAAAGATCCTATGTGTACTTTCTGTAATAGTGTATTTTATGGAAAAATGCATGAACTTCAAGGATACTGTAAAGGTAAAGTGGAACGTCATGAGTTCTACAGATCGTCGCAGAGGTATTACGGTCTCAGACCGAAAAATTTAAATAACTATAACTGGATTCCAATGCAAGTAAACTGGTTTAAATAAAAACTATTTGAATTCTACACATTTTTAAAGGTGTGTGCAAATCTACGAATTCCGATAAAATGGGAAATTCGACAAACGAGAGAATTCTTTGCAAATCCTTCAGGAATCTTGGTCACAACAACTTCTCATGAAGTTTTGAGAAATGTGTACAACAGTTATTCCATGGGATTGTAGCGTATGATGAGAACATGTTTTATACGACAACAAACTACGTTTAATGACCTTTCAATGATCAAGACAAGACATTAGCTGTATTAAAAATGCAAGCATCATATTGTGCGGCAGAATTGAAGGTGACCATCTAAGCATTTATTTTTGCCTCATTATTCTCAATAGTTTCTTTTAGGTGAGGGTTAGTTCATTCCTACAACATCCCACTCTATCTGATTCGGTTTGATGCGACTGCGTGGACCTGAAATTTGCTTGAAAACGGAATTTCTATTGCTCTATGAAATCATAGTGGCTTTGGGAAACGGCAATGTTATCGAAACCTCATCATCCATTCGCAAAGGATCCTTTTACTGATCTCGAATAAGCTTATCAATCAATAACTTAGAATATTGACCAAGCGGTATCTTACGCTTAAATATGTGCTTTCATTTAAACACGAAAGGTGGAGTTGCTTCTCAAAACTGAGCAACACTTGACCTCGATATGAATACTCAATATACTTTCCAGATCATTCAATTTTTGCACGTGGTAAGTACGATTTTTTAACGTAGAGATGGCTAAGGTTTCGACATTCGACTTCTTCATCTTGTTCAAATCCAGTTGATCACAGGTGATGACCGACAGTTCTCCACCTTGTGATGTGGTTCATCGCAGTCGTCCCCAATCGAATCTTCTGGACAGGGGTACCGCTACAAAGGTAACTTCACTCAGTCTCACAAAAAATATATCAAAGCTTAACCTTTTTATTTGCTGCCTACTCTTTTTAATGGCAGGGTATATTGCGAAATATAACTTCAATGATGCTGAGATATTTGCAAAACACCGGATCGCAGGTGTATGCGGTGGGAAACGAACGCGCTATTGTCTTCTTCGAAGAGTAACGCGAGTTTAACTGGATTCAATGAACTAACTGAGAGACAGGCGAAGCGAAGGTTCCGCATGGTGTGGTGGTGAACGCGCTACTCCCTGAAAAGGACAATAACGCGTTCGTTTCCCACCGCATACACTTTCAGTCTAGAGTTTTGCAAATATCTCAGTATTATAGTAGCTATATTTCGCAACATACCTACCGTTAAAAAAAATAGGCAGTAAATTAAAAGGTTAGGATTGTGATTATAACTAGAACCTCAGCTTAACTAGGTTCAATGCCGATTCGCGCTCCTCAGATCGATCCCGTTGACGAGTGAATGCTGATGGCAAAACATCGATAGAACTAGATGGGAGACAGTCGGAGCGAAGAACCCGCATGGTGTGGTGGTGAACGCGTTACTTCCCGGAAAGGACAATAACGCGTTCGTTCTACACCACATGCACCTGCGGTCCGGAGTTTTGCAAATATCTCAGCGTCATTGAAGTTATACTAAAACTGTTCGCTAATGTATTTAGAACTACTACAGGATTGTTTTAAGAACAGCTCAAAAAGTTATCGACGACTACTCTCTGATCAAATCCAGTAAGAGGCTTCTTCATGCGAGAAGTGACATGTTCTGTGAATTTTAGAGAGAACGGATCTAGTCGAGTTGTGATCCGCATCAGTTCAAGTGAGTACTTCACTAGAGAACCAATTGGCAAGTACATATTGCGAAAAATGCCTGCAAATGTAATGTGATAAAAAGACGAGGAAGCAAAAGTTACCACTTAATCCACTTACTTGAGTCTTTATGGATGTTAGTGCAATCGTCAAACACATTCCTGATCCGGCTGGTGATTCACCAGTTGGACAAGGTTTTTGCCTCACGTAATTTCGGTACTGTACTCATTGGGATGCACCGTATCGACTCCACTAGCACTGCTGTGCTCTTCTGGATGAAGGGACATTTCCACAGTGTGTTTTCTGGAATTGGTCTTGATTCACTCATATTTAAGATTCTGGATAGAAATGACCAGTTTCTTCTCAACTAGTGAGACGATAACACTGCCAGTGATCTCAACCTCCAAATGAAATGTTGAAATTAGTAGTTACCGCATATGCAGAAAACATAGGATTGTGATACATAGCGATCGATGAAACGAGAACCATATTGTAAAAAGCGTCATAAATACTGTTTTTCTGATTCCGTTACGAGTGTCATCTTGAGAACAATCGCATTGATTCGAATTGAATAGGAACGGCGCCCATCACCGCACTTTCAGTCGAAGTTTCCAGTTGCGGTATGTTTTTCATAATCGAGAACCATCAGCTCGGAACATCCCATTACCGTATAAAATGAATGATCTTCCCATATTTTCCTACCGTTTCACTTTTTCTCGGAATTCTCTCAGAAATTTGTTTGTTTCATGAGGTACTCTGATCATGTCACATTACATTACCATCATTTAACTTGTATCACCAATTAGCAAGTGTTTAATTATATTAGCCCTTCCGCACTTGTTGTCGGCACTTCGACGAAAAGAATCGATTGAACGAGAATTTCTACGACTGTCATTTTTTAGCAGAAGTTCATAACTGCATGTAAAACCTTGTTTTCCTTCGTTCTGCCTGCACTGTGGTCTTTCAATAGCCAAGCAATTCGAATTCTTTGCAGTCTTTCTCTAATTGACAATGATATCTCTAGTGATTTTATTACTATTCTTTCACATTCAACAATGTAACCGCAATGAAAAGCTAGTAAAACTTGATGTTCATTCCATCAAGTTCGTAATTCGTAGGGACATTCCAGTGAATGCCATCTGGGAGTCGGTCGGTTATCTTCATAAGGCAGTGTGCTAAATTTTGGAGGGGCGATACTAAAGAAACCTTTGATTAACTGGTATTAAGTAATGTTAACTTTTACTTCTTGTTTCCTATAATTTTTATGGAAGGGTATTACGTGTGACACAATCATTATCACGCTGAAATATTTTCAAAATTCTGAACCGCAGGTGCCTCCGGTGGGAATCAAACGCGCTTTTACCCTTTCCGGTCGTTAACGCGTTCACCAACACACCACGTAGGCCTTTTTCGCCTGTCTCCTAGCCAATTCCGTCGATCAGCGCCATCGGCAATCACCCGTCAACGGAATTGACCTAGGGAGATCAAATCGGCAACGAACCCAGTTAAGCTGAGGCTGCAGTCGAGATGGCGATGTTAACTTTTTATTTACTGCCTGTTATAATTTTTCATAGCAGCATATTATGTTTATTCAATCACTATGATGCTGAGATGTTTGAAAAATGGTGTGATGGTGAACACGTTAGCACCCGGAAATGGTAATAGTGCGTTCACTCCCACCGCAGACACCTGCGGTCCGGAGTTTTGCAAATATCTCAGCATCACAATGATTGATGTTAAATAGTTTCCTTGTAAAAAATAAACTTTGCACCAAATGTAAAGTTTATTGATAAGAGCGTCAAAGGTTCCAAATTTGTCATCGAAAACTATCAAGTACCAATATGTCGAAGCCAATTTTCTGAAATGACGGACGAGTTCTGCGGCTTAGAGTACATAAATTTCATGTTCAGTTGTTGTATTTATACGAACGTCAAGTTTTCATTTACAGCCTACTACAATTTTTTACTGTAGCGTATTATGTGAAATAAAACCTCAGCGATTCTAAGATATTTGCAAAACTCCGGACCGCGGGTGTCTGTGGTGGGGAACGAACAGACTATTACCCTTTCTGGGGGTTGAAACATGACTGTGAGAAAGGTGAAAGAACGAACATGGAGACGGTGATGACCTCCTTAGAAGATAGAGCCGTCATTGAAGTCAGTTCCGATTTCCATAAATCGTTACCATCTGCGAATGCAGGTGGTTGGCGCAATCATCGAAGGGCTGATTCATAAATTGAATAAATCCTAGTTCATGGTGGTTTTAGGACTTCGTTTTTGAATTTAGTGGCCTTTTGTCGTTTTCGTGGAAAACGAAATCTTGCATGAAGGAGGTGAGGTCTAGCACCGTGTG